AAGAATCTATAAAAGTCGAAACTTTAATAGATCTTGAAGAACAAATAAAAAGATTCAAAACTCATAAATTTGACTTGGTCAAACCCAAGTATCTTTATGAAAATGCCAACTCTCTGTTTAATGCTGGATCAATCTTTCAGCATTATCAGGAAGTTCAAGTATCCTGTGTCAAAGATAGTGATAGTGTTACCCTAAGACTTTTAAGTGAAAATGGATATTTTAGTCTCGAAAGAATGAAATATTCATTGGTACACATAGGGTTAATCACTATAGGAGTCAAAACACTTCACAGAAAGGGTTTAGGTACAAAATGCCTTTTAACTCTCTTAGACACAAGACATTAGGATATGATTCAATCCCTTATAGGATCTATCGAAATAGACCTATCTGAACAAGGGGGATTTGCTTATTTTACTCCCAATTTCCAAATGGATACAAAAGCCTTTAAACAATTTTTAAAAATAGGAATCATGACTAAAGGCTATTCTATGGCTGAGGGAGAGAAAAACCTTTTAGTTTGCATAGGATTCATTGGCCAAGTAACTCATAATGGCACAACCAATTATCCAGTAACCAGTGAAGAAATATGTGAAATATTTGGAACAAAGGGAATTAAGGCCGTTCAAGCTCAACATTTAGATTCAACCTATCTGAATGGAACTGAATGGAACATAACCAAATTCCTCAACAAGCCCATAATGGTACCCACTCGAAATACCTTATATCAAAATTATAAGGGAGAAACGAGTCTAAGCTTTAGTGATTATGAAAATATTCTTCCTGAACAAGAAGAAAATGTAGAAACAGTTGAAATCAAGATGCTACACTTAACTAAAGAAATTGAAAATGAAGAAAGTGAACCTTCTTGGCTTCAAACCTTAAGAAAAAGGGAAGAACATTTTGAAAAATGGGGACCAATCAAAGACAAATATAATGAAGAATGGGAATTCATTGAAACTTACTTTTCCTCAAAAGGAAAATAAGTTAATGTTGAAGAAGTCTTAACACTGAAATACCATGGGGAAGACATTGAGGATCAAATTCTAGATCTAGAACTTCCAGTTGAGGCTTACTTCAAAAATCAAAAACCCATACTTCAAATTAGTCATGAATACGAATCCCAACAGGAAAAAATATTCATGAATGTAACCCCTGAAAATCCAAATAAGAATTCTAACCAGAACCCTAGTGCTCCAATTAGATCCGAAATTGAAGAAAATTCTAGAGCTCCCAGAACATCTAGAGTCTTCGGTTCTAGAACATACCAGTTAGGAGGAAGATATCCCATACCTCAAGCAACACTTGAGTATAGGGGAGAGAACAGAGAAAGGATACAATTTGGTAAAAAAATGGAAATTGACCCAAACCAGTTACCTGCTGCAAAACAGCAAGGGACTATTCTAGAGTTACCAAGTTGGAATCCACAGCTTTGGGCAGAAATAATAGATCAATGGGAAAGAGACGCTTGCCGGGCATGGATCAATCGATCTATGGATGGTGAGATGTTCGAATTCCTAGAAACACTTCTAGGCCCCATTGTAGAATTGTATTGGAATACCTTTGAAAGAGAGAACCCAACCTTAGTTGCTGAAACACAAGACTTGGGGGAAAATCCGTACAATTTTACCTCTTTAATCAAAAAGATGTTCTTAGGATCTGATGTAACTGTTGATTCCGAAAGAGCTTTACAAAATAAAGCTATTGAGGAACTTGAGGTCCTTCAGTTAACATCTTGGTATCAAATCGAGTCCTTTTGCAATGATTTTCTTAAACTTGTTGCTAGAACGGGACAATGATTTGATGACAACTTAAATAACAGAATCTTTGATAAGCTACCAAGCACCCTTGGTAAACAAATCAAAGAGAAATGGCTAGCTTCTAACCCTGCACCTCAACAGGGAGCAGGCCCTAGAATTTTGTTTATATATAAAATATTAAAAGAAAAGTGTGTAGATATTCAAATCCAAAAATCTCTTAAAAAGCAAAAATTTGGTTTTTGTAAATCTGTAATTAGGGGACATGGTTTTTCAAAAGAATCATATAATAGGAGGAAAAAATACAAAAAATCCCAAAAAGAATACAAAAAATCCCAAAAAGAATGTTCTTCTTGCAAAACCAAACCCAAAAAATTCATAAAAAAGAAAACATATTCTCTTAAACCTAGTAACACCTTCAAAAAAGGAAAAACGGGTAACAAGGAGAAATATGTGAAAAAACCCAAAAATCCAAAGAAAGACAGAAAATGCTATATATGTGGAGATCCAGGACATTATGCAAACAAATGCCCAAACAAAAACAAACCAACTGAAAGATCTCAAATATGGGCAAATCTTGCGGAAGAAGAAGACATCATCTCTATAAGCGAATACGAGTCTGAAAGTGATGTTTATAGCATCATTTCAGAAGATTTGTTTATAGAAGACTTGTCTGAATCTTATTCAGAATCTGAAGAAGATATAGACTCTAAAGATCAAAATCTGCAGCAGTTTATAGATTCTCTTGATAAAAAATTAAACACTGTAAAAATCATGATGATCAAAATTGATTCTGACTGCAAACATTCATGGCAATCAAATCAACCCCCACAATGGGAAAAATGTTTAGATTGTCATAGGTACACCAAGCCTTCTACAAAATTGAAATGTACAATATGCTCAAAAGTATATTGTATATTCTGTCACAAAAAATTAAAAGAAGAGGTTGAACAGGTACAGCCTTCAAAACCTGTAAATAAAATAAACATCCCTGCACCAAATGAAGAACAATTAATCAGAGATGTAGAAAAATTATCTCTATTGCAAGAAATGAAATCAATGAATAAAACTCTCAATGAAAAGGATGAGTACATCTTGCAATTAGAAGAACAGATAGAATTTCTCCACCAAAGAACAAAAGAACTAGAGAACCAATTAGCAAAACTTCCACTCAAAGGAAAAGATGCTAATGAACCAACAGCAGATAAAGAAGAACAAATCTCTACTTTATCAGCTAATGTTCCAACCAATTCCAAAGATCCAAATACCCTACTCAGCATACTGTGTTCAATCACCTTCAAAAACGGAGAAACAAAAGAATTCTTAGGAATGATTGATACAGGAGCATCTAAATCTTACATCCTTAAAACAGAAATCCCGAGTTCTCAAATCTCAACAATGAAAGCTATTTATGGAACTCAAATGGATGGAACTCAACTCAAATATGATAAATGTCTAAAGGATGAAAAAATTTCTTTCTGGGACTGGGGATCAGGAAATTTTGGAGAAAAGTACACCTTACCTCAAGTAATTGTACATAATATCCGAAATAATTATCCCTTCATAATTGGCTTAAACTTTATCACTCACTTACAGGGCCAAATGACAATTTCTTCCGATGGAGTACAATTTGCAAAACGAACCAGTTACACCCCAACGGATAGATATGTCATGAATCTTCCAAACCCAGAAGAAAAAGCACCCCAAAAAATCCAAAATAAATTAAATAAGCATTTTGAATATAATAGTAATTATTTAAGTAGTGATGAAAAGTTTTTTGATGATTTATTAGAATCTGATTATACACCAAATCCCTCAGAAGAGAGTTTGGACATATTTGAAGATTCTATAGATTATCAGTTTTTTGATAACTTAATTAATAATGAAGAAGTGGTGCATGTAAATATAGAAAAAACTCTTTCAAACTTTCAGAAAGAAGAAACAAAAGAAAAAATAAAAATTACAAAAAAAATGAACTTAGATGAGTTAATCAAAATAGCTGCTGAAACTCAAGTCTTAGGAGAAGACCCAATAAAATATTGGGATCGAAACAAATGTACAGCAAAATTAGAAATAATAAATCCTGTACTTAGAATTACTTGTGGCAAGATGGATCACAGTCCACTTGACAGACAAGAATTTCAGGTTCAAATAAAAGAACTTTTAGCCTTAGGAGTCATAAAGCATTCTAGTTCTAGACATTCCTTTGTAGCATTCATGGTAAGAAATCATGCAGAAATTAAACGAGGAAAGGCTAGGATGGTTATAAACTATAAAAGGCTAAATGATAACACTTATAAAGATGCATATAGAATACTAGATAAAGACCAACTAATCAACTGCATTCAAAATTCAAAAATTTTTAGCAAGTTTGATTGTAAGTCTGGTTTCTGGCATATCAAAATGGAAAAAGAATCCATTCCATGGACCGCCTTCACTTGTCTCGAAGGACATTTTGAATGGCAAGTCATGCCGTTTGGATTGAAAAATGCACCTTCAATTTTCCAAAGAAAGATGGATCAGATATTCAAAAAATATTCTGATTTTGTCTTAGTTTACATAGATGATATTCTCGTCTTCAGCAAAACTGAAACTGAGCATATCAAACACCTGCAGGTTGTTTTCATTGAATTCCTGAAAAATGGCCTTATAATTTCTAAAAAGAAAATGGAACTCTCCAAAGAGTACATTGAATTTTTAGGAATGAGGATTGGACAGGGAAAAATGCAGTTGCAGGATCACATAGTTCAGAAGATTCTTGACTTTCCCGACAAAATCGAGGAAACTAAAGAACTTAAAAAATTCTTGGGTATACTCAATTATGCCTGAATGTATATAAAAGATCTATCTAAACTGACTGGACCATTATATGCAAAACTTAGTCCCAAAGGACAAAAGTTTTTCAATAGTGAGGACGTCAGACTTGTAAAAAGAATAAAAGATGAAGTTAAAAAGTTACCCTCTCTAACTCTACCATTGGAATCAGACTACAAAATAGTCGAAACTGATAGTAGTAGTGAAGGATGGGTAGCAATTCTGTTAGTCAGACCAAAAGAATTCTCATCTCAAAAAGAAGAAAAGATTTGTAGAAATTCTAGTGGATTGTACAGAGAAAGTAAAAATTCTTTAACCTCTCTTGATTTTGAAATATTAGGAGTTATAAATGCTTTAAATTCTTTCAGACTTTTCATCCAAAATGATGTTTTTACAATTAGAACAGACTGTGAGGCAATTGTAAAATATTTTCAAAAGAAAAATGAAAAAAGTCTTTCTTCTAAAAGATGGATGAATTTTGTAAATATCATAACTGGAAATGG